TTAAGCTCGATGTTAAAGTGGATTAAAGCCAGTCTGTGGCTTTTTAATTAAAATTGTCATTCACACTATTATGATCCTTGAAGCACAAATACTCGTTAATATTCAATCTATTTTTAAACTTAGATTATAGCATCAGATAGTGGTTATGCTAAAATTCAAAACACCCATGTCATATTTGTTTATGTAATACTTAAGCGTTAATTACTCTATTTTCCTGTGATTTTTTGTCCTGTGATGGTAAATATAGTATTCCGTGTTTTTAACACATTCCGTAAGTAAGTGTTGGACGTCATCGACTATTGCTTAAACCATAACAATTGGGCACACATATAATTTATTTCAAACTTTTAAAATAAACGTGACTTTAAGTTCCTCTATAAAAACTACTGTTTTTTTTATAAAGATGTTGTCTATTAAAAATGCAGATAATTTCCCCTAAAAATAAATTTTGTTACAAGCACAGTGATCATTAATAACATGAGTACCCCAATTGTCCGTTAAAGCCAAATATGCACACAAATTAAAAAAAAACTCTATCCTTTTACTATATTCAACCCTGCAATTTGTTAGTCCATGAAAAAATGTCAAAATAAAAAGCGCAGAGCAACCGGGTTGGAACTGATTGCAGGCATACCGCGTAAAAATGTCACAGAGGTGTTTTCATTTATGTAGCTCTATATTTTTAATCTTTTTTTTAGTAAAAATTGTATTTACGCTTTAAATGTAAATGAAACGAGATTCATTTTTGTTCGACATAAACGGCACTAAACGCTAGTAATTTCTACTGTATCGTGGAAACGTTTTACTTGCAATGTTGCTGTGTTTCTTATGGTGAATTTAGAGAACCGGAGACCCTTTTTACTGAAAACTCGAGGCATGGATCTAAGTCCTGCGAGTGAAAACGCATCTGCCCTTTGATTCTTAATCGAGGGTAAATGTAGATGTCTATGGGCCTCAGCGTCCACTTACTTTAGCTTTTACTACACCACTGATACTAGAATGGAAGTAATAAGATGAAAATAGATGGTATCTTTATACTCTATACACGCGTAAAAAGATACATGTAGACAACACAAACGTGTAGTAGCGGTGTAACAATATCCGACGCCCACGGGACGATATGACGTTTTTGATATAGAGGCAACAGAAAGAAACTAATCAGAAGATGAGAAGTTTCGTCTTCCTTAGAATAACTGGAAAAAGAAACTACGGTTCCCTATCAAGCGTAACAACTATGGCAAATCGTCCCTATTAGACATTCTCTGTGGAGGGCTATACCCATAGAGAATATAACCACTAGAGAGCGTATAGGCAGATTTCTTCTAAGCACACGACTCACTACTATGGGCCGGGGGACAAGGAAGAACGCGTGGCTGCATATAGTCAAGTTGCGTTGTTATGGCTATCTTTAGGGTTGCTCTTCTTAATAAAGGAAAATATTCGTTGTCGATAAAATTGATTTAACCATTATGAAAAATACTCAATTAAAATCATAGAAATAATATTTAATCAAAATCAATCAGTTACAACGAAAACATTTATTTATTATATTATTATAATGATTTTTAAAATGTAATTAATTTGTTGTATTTATTTCGAATTAAAGTTTAAGGGTCGTGATTGTTCTTTGTAAAAATTTAAACAAGCGTCTACATATTTGTAAATTACGCATCTTGCTAATTCAATTAAATGATTTATTTCATATATTATTGATTCTATTTCAAATTGATGAAAATCAATATACGGGAATCAATAATACCTAATCAGAGATTTTAAAAACCGTTCTCATAAAATAATTGGTACTATATTTCGAAGACCCTCCACCTTTCACTGATTGCCCTCTTATTGAAAATTTTACAACGACGACAAATATATATTACTGTAGTGGATCCGTACAATAAATTGTTTTTAGTGTCCTTTTGAAATTGTAAGCCATTCTGATTTGGTACACCAATCTAACTAATTTAACTAGGTAACTATAAATTTTAACTAAGAAAAAATACCGACAAACTGAGAACCTCCTCTTTTTTCTGAAGACGGTTAAAAGTAGATAAGTATTTTTTTCACAGTGTGTGAATTGAATAATCTTTTTATTCGTTTTAATTTTATTATTTTCGATATCGACTTTCAGCTATTAAAGGTAACAGTAAGTCCTAATGTTTACGATAAACATACAAAGGGAAAGAAAGGGATAGAAGCATTGGAATTGTCTAATAATAGAACGAGACTTTTCCAAAAGACATCAACGCGCGACTCAACCATGTCGTTATTTAACCGGCGACCGTTTTAGATAGACCCCTACAATTGCTCATAATCTGAATTAATCAACAATAATTTTCGTATGTTTTACTTAGCAATGAAAAGTTACTTCATTCTTTCTGGACATCTGTCCTGGAATGTTTCCCACACCACTTCAACGCGCATTTTGATGCATTATAATTGCATAAAAGTTATAAAAAATTGCATTAATTTAGCGTGCACACAGGTCTGACACTTGGACAATACTAAAATGGTTAATAGTACCATAGCCGATGCATAGGCGACAAAATACTAATAGTTTTCGAGCGTCGGGGCACTGTATGCGCAGTCAAGTGGTTATATAGTCTTTGGATTGAACGAACAATTCATGATGAGCAACTTCTAACAGAAGCATTTTAAGCTTACCAGGAATGGGTAAAGGGAATATTAGTAATATTACTAGCATTGCTAGTAGGTATATTAAATTTAAAAATTAAAAAAATATATGAAGGAGATGTGTTAAAGTATGAAGACGTGGGTGGTTTAACTCCTTGCTTTGTTTTGTTTGTGATCTTTCATTGCACTTATGTTCATCAATTAACTATTAATGGGCTGGAACCGACCCTGAACCGTGTGGTGGCGATGTAAGAATATCCACTGCACCATATCATCCCACTGGTGTCGTAAGAGGCCACAGAGAGAAACAAATTGGGACATCGGCAGGAGGTTGTTAATATGTTAAAGGTAGGTTGAGAATCTGTTTGCCAAGCGTGGCAATATGGCAAATATCCCTCTCCTCTATGGGGCAATCTATGGGGGAGGCCTATGTTCAGCAGTGGACCTTAATAGGTCGTAACCATAGAGAATATAACCACTAGAGAGCGTATAGGCAGATTTCTTCTAAACACACGACTCACTACTGCGGGCCGGGGGGCGAGGAAGAACGCGTGTCTGCGAATGGTCAAGTTGCTTTGTCATGGCTATCTTTAGGGTTGCTCTTTTTAATAAAGGAAAATATTCGTTATCGATAAAATGGATTTTATCATTATGAAAAATATTCAATTAAAATCATAGAAATAATATTTAATCAAAATCAATCAGTTACAACGAAAATATGTATTTATTTTATTATTATTGATTTTTGAAATGAATTAATTTGTTATATTTATTTCGAAATAAAGTTTAAGGGTCCTGATTGTTCTTTGTAAAAAAATATAAACAAGCGTCTACATATTTGTAAATTATGCATCTTGCTAATTCAATTAAATGATTTGTTGATTCTATTTCAAATTAATGAAAATGAATATACGGGAATCAATAATACCTAATCAGAGATTTTAAAACCGTTCTCATAAAATAATTAGTATTATATTTTGGAGACAGCACTTTTGAACCACTCTCATCGATCGCCCTCTTATTGAAAATTTTACAACGACGACAAATATCTATTATTGTAGTAGATCCGTACAATAACTTGTCTTTAGTGTCCTTTTGCAATTGTAAGCCGTTCTGATTTGGTACACCAATCTAACTAATTTAACAATACAATACAATACAATACTCTTTATTGTACACCAACAAAACATAAATATAACAAATAATGAACAAACAATGAGGGAAAAACAAAAGGCGGTCTTATTTCTCCATAGCAATCTCTTCCAGACAACCCAGAAGAGGAAATTAATAAAAATAAAAATAAGATTAACGGGTAGGGTGCACTAAATTAGACAAAAAAATACAACTTATATACTATAAAGTGACAACATACTTAAGGTATATTAGTGACCATAACTAAGAGGAGGACGAGAGAGGAGTTAAAGAGACAAATAGTGTTCCTTAATTTGTTCCTTGAACATATTTAAAGATTGAGCACTTTTAATGGACTGGGGTAAGGAGTTCCAGAGTCTTACTCCAATAAAAGCAAAAGATTTATCATAAAATGTCGAGGAGTGTACGGTAATATATTAACAGTAATTTAACTAGGTAACTATAAACTTTAACTAGGAAAAAATACCGACAAACTGATAACCTTATCTTTTTTCTGAAGACGGTTAAAAGTAGATAAGTATTTTTTCACAGTGAGTGAATTGAATAATCTTTTTATTAATTTTAATTTTATTATTTTCGATATCGCCTTTCAGCTATTAAAGGCAACAGTAAGTACTAATGTTTACGATAAACGTACAAAGGGAAAGAAAGAGATAGAAGCATTAGAATTGTCTAATAATAGAACGAGACTTTTCCAAAAGACAACAACGCGCGACTCAACCATGTCGTTATTTACCCGGCCACCGTTTTAGATAGACCCCTGCGGTGGCTCATAATCTGAATTAATCAACAGTAATTTTCATATTGTAAAAAACTATATAAGTAAACTTAGCAATGAAAAGTTACTCCATTCTTTTTGGAAATCTGTCCTGGAATGTTTCCCACACCACTTCACCGCGCATGAAGGCATTTTGATGCATTATAATTGCATAAAAGTTATAAAAATTTGCATTAATTTAGCGTACACACAGGTCTAACACTTGGACAATACTAAAATGGTTAATAGTACCATAGGCGATGCATAGGCGACAAAATACTAATAGTTTTCGAGCGTCGGGGCATTGTATGCGCAGTCAAGTGGTTATATAGTCTTTGGCTATACCAAATACAAATGTTTGCTCACGCTTCGATTCTGGTCCTCACACATTTTGTGATCATGAGGCAACATTTTATTTAAAGAATTGTGGAATAATCAAAGCCATCGTACGTTGCAGATGCGCTAATGTCGGTGGACGAGACGCTGATATGCTCGTTCCAGATTTTGAAGCCGGCCGACAAGCGCAAGCTGTACACCGGACTCAACATGGGCCGCCCCAAAACACCGCCTTACTCACAGCCCAAGAACAAGAAGAAGTGAGTCGCTCTCTCTCACACACCACACACACACACACACACACACACACACACACGCACGCGCGCGCGCACACACACACGCACGCACACACACACACACACACACACACACGCACGCACGCACGCACGCACGCACGCACGCACGCACGCAGGCACGCACACACACACACACACTATAATATAGTAGAAATAGTAATTGCTCTAGATAAAAAGAAACAAGATATATAAAACATCAGAAAAGTAGTTGGATAATCTCTGAAAAAGCAAGCAGATAAAATGTCAGCTCTATCTTCGGTAAAATATCCTGCTGCTAATACAGGCAATAATGTAGTGGTAAAAATTCCTGATGTAGACCGCGCCAAAGCCGATGATAGAAACACCATGACTGTTATAATTTCTCAGGAGACAGAAAGAATGTATAAGTTAGGCACTAAGCATGGGATTCTAAATCAACTTTACGCAAGGAATCAGTTCACTGTCTGCAAAGAAACGTTTATTACAGTTGATATCGTTCCCCAAAATGAAGTTACCATCTGAGAATGTGCAAAAAAAGATGACATCTTGGCGGCCAAGGATTTCTGCATTGCAACTGTACTGAAGAATGCGTTTCTAATAGGTGTAAATGTAAAAAGTCAAACCTTATGTGTAACGCAAAATGTCACAAGAGTGATTTCTTATATTTACGCGAAAACTACACATTGAAATAATACTAGTTTTTACGGAATTTATCGCAACTTTTTAAATACCCGACGTTTCGAACGCTTTACAGCACTCATGGTCACGGGCGGGACTGAGATGTCGGACTGAGACTTTGAGGAGAAAGCCCTGCTTAGTTCTCCCATAAATCCAAGATTCTACAAGCGGTACGTAGACGACACTTTCACATCAGTATATTTCTACCTTTAGATAAAGTAACTGCATTTTTAGACCATCTTAACTCTATAAATTCTAACAATTCAGTTCACAATAGAGTTAGAGGCTAAACAATTCCTTAGCTTTTCTAGATCCGTGCTAGTAATTCGGAATCCTGATAACACCTTGAGCCATACTGTGTATTAGAAAAAAGACCCATACAGATAGATATTTAAACGATGATTCTCACTACCATCCTTCACAGTTAGCTACCGTGGGTAAATCTTTGTTTCAGAGAGCACGAGGGATAATTAACGTTAAATATTCGCGTTAAATTCCGTAAAAACTAATATAATTTCAATGTCACAAGAGCCTTACTTGTAAGAATAAATAGTAATGATAACCCAATTAATTCGTGTCACTACATTTTAAATATTTTATTATTGTAGTCTTTAAAGAGTGATACCAAATAGTTGTATTGATCTCTGTGTGTTTTTTTTTTAAATTTTGTTTTATGGCTAGAGAGCTTTAAATTTACTTTATAAATTAGAGTATTTAAAGTTAAATAATTTTTTATCAATGTTAATTAACGTAGAATTGTTTTCTTTGACAATGTATTTAATTCAAAATTAAAACATTATAATTATTACTTTTCTATTATTAAAAAAAATATTACTATTTGCTACATAATATATAGTTAAGTATGCTTGCGGCAAATTGAAATATAATTTTTATTACCTACATACTTGTTTTATTACATTATCCAAGTTTCCGAAGATATTATGTAAAATTGCTAGTTAATGCGATTAATTCTGTGTCAATTATCACTTCATCTAAATTAAGTAGACATTATAAATAATGGCCAGATAATATGTATAATATCCGGATTTGTTACTTTGTCTGTAACATATATATATATATATATATATATATATATATATATAATATATATATATATATATATCTCGCAGGTATATTGACAAAGCCGTGATGTTATAATTGAACAGTAGATTATCAATCGACTTCATTTCTTACAATTTAAAAAGGTAATTTTATACTTCCCCGGTTCCCAAATCACATAATAATGTTTATTTATTAATTTTTTAGTGAAGTGAGCTCGGCACTCATGGCATCCCGACTCAGACTGGTTAGGTTAGGAGATCGAGTGAGCGAGCGAAGCGAGCGTAGAGACCCAGCCATCTCCTTTGTGGTTATTTTTTATAAACCACTCAGAAGTAGGAGCCCCGCTAAGCGAGACCCCGTCGACCGGGTCCGTTAGGTTGTAAGAAATGAAGTCGATTGATAATCTACTGTTCAATTATACTATCACAAGTGACATTGTAATAATTTTGACAATACACCTGCGACATATATACAAGTACGCCGAACCAGCCTATGAAATATTTGTGCCGATTTGAAGCGCCGCAATTGTTCGTAGCGGGAACTAAAATTTACATAATATGCGAAAGTCTGGTGTGTTGTTTAAATCGTATCTCTGTATTTTAAAATTTTTAACGAAAAATTGAAAGCATTTTGTGTAGTTTGAATATGTCTGATTTCAGATATAAAATATTATTTTTTCTGAAAACTCGTTATCAAAAATAAAGTGGGATAACACGCCACAAGTAAGTAAATTTACAGCTAATATTAAAAAAATAGGCTAAGTAATTAGTAATTACCAAATGTTTGGCTTTTTATTACTGAGTTTTGATAAAGAATACAATTCAATAGGGTTGTTGAGTTCCTATTATAGTTATCGATGTTCTTTTTTACCCCTATCTGGTAACAACGAAAGTCACCCACAACAGATATTTCTCAAATGATACTGTTGCTATTGATTCACAACTCTAGAGTAACAATACCAAGTATTGGCTATTCCAAATTTGTATTGGAAAAACGCAAACGAAGTTATTTGAGAATAAGACTAAAAAGTAAAATTCTTCTAAGGTTACTTACTCTGGTGTTGCATGGTGTTTGGTCGAATCCACTTAATACTTTATTATTATTACACATAATGTGTAATAATAATAAAGTATTACTTAGTGTAATGTTGTACTTAGATTCTTAGGACTTATGGTACACAGACAGTGGCTTAGAGCTTATATCTCTATAAATATTCCCTTGGTTTTTGAGCTTTGTAGAGTATTTATAAACAACGTCAGGAGACCCGATGGTATGATTTTGGGTGCTTGGGAGAGTTATGAAGCATTAGTGTGGGATATAAATTGCGACACTTTGCAAGCTCCTCATTTAAGGGGAACTTCGTTTAAAGCAGAAGCGGCATCAGAGGTAATTGAACTAAGAAAGTAGCTCAAATATGAGTATCTGAGAGATGAGTACATATTTGCGCCATTTTCTGTTGAGACTATCGGTCCGTAGAGTTCACGTGCGGTGAAGTTCCTAAAAAATGATGATAAAAGGGCTGCTTAATTTTTCGCTCAAAGGCTAAGTATAGTTTTCAGAGAGAAAGCTCAACTAGCGTTCTTGGCACTGTACCGCGGGGAGTAGGACTGTATGATAATTTCAGTTTTTAGTTTTTTTACCGTAGTTTTTTTTAATATTGTAATTTGAATTTCGAAAATGAACTTGTATATTACCAATCACCATGTAATTTAAGGTTTATATCTTGCTAGATTGTACCCGGCAGATTGCTGCCGAAGAAAATAAAATAAAAAATAAAAATAATAAACTTTATTTGACATAAAACATTGCAATAAATATTTCAGTGAATCCATAGGACTTACGGAAGACCTGATCTTTTTGTTACTTTTACTTGCAATCCCACATGGAAAGAAATAACCGAGGAGCAAATGCCGGGTCAAAAAAGTACTGACAGACATGATTTAGTTGCTAGAGTATTAAGATTAAAAGTACAAAAATTAATGAATGTAATTAACAAAAGGAAAATTTTCGGAGAGGTGCAGTGCTTCATGTATTCAATTGAATGGCAAAAAAGAGGATTACCGCATGCCCACATTCTAATATGGATTAAAGAAAAGTTGCGGCCCAGCCTAATAGACGACATAATAAGCACCGAGATTCCGGATCCTGAGCAAGATAAAGAATTGTATGATACCATCGTCCGAAATATGATTCACGGTCCATGTGGAGCACGAAATTCAATATCGCCATGTATGAAAGAAAGAAAATGTACAAAGAAATTCCCTAAACAGCTATTAAAAGAAACAGTGCACAATGGTAATGGCTACCCTTTAAACTTTATACAGACGCAGAGCTCTCGAAGACGGTGGCTAGAAAGTTACAAAAAATCTCGCTCTTGAGCGTTCGAAACCTTAGATAACAGCTGGATTGTCCCGTATTCGCCCATTCTATGTAAAATATTTAATGCCCACATTAATGTATAAGCATGTAGCTCTGTCCGCGCGTATATCTGTAAGTACATAAATAATGGAAGCGACTAAGCAATATTTAATCTCAGGAGTGAATTTGAGGCAAATCACGTTAATGAAGTATAGAACTTTCAAGCAGGGCGTTATGTCAGCAGTAAAGAGGTAGCGTGGCGTCTCCTTGGCTTCCCTTTACAAGAAAGGCACCCAACAGTTACTCACTTTGCTATGCGCTTAGAAAATGGAGAGCGTGTATATTTCACCGAAAGAAATTTCCAAGAAAGAATTGCATCACCGCAAAAACTACACTAACAGCCTTCTTTCAACTTTGTCAAATCGACCCCTTTGCAAAAACGTTGTTATATTCTGAAGTCCCCGCTATTATACTTAGAACACATCTACATAGGAAGGAGTGGAAACGCCGTATTCAAGGCGCGCCTGTTGCAAATAGGCTCGGTGTAAAGTCATCAGATTCCCTTGTGTCGTGTGTATACTGTCCATGTAACTAATTTTGAATGTTTCTGTTTACGATTGCTGCTGCACCACGTTCGGGGTCCTACAGGATATAAAGACCTTAAAACTGTCAACGGTTAGGAATGCGCAAATAGAGAAGCATGGGAGCATTCACTGGGATGAAACCATGGAGGAAGCTGTGCAGTGCCAGTTACCAGCCAAAATTAGGGATCTTTATGCAAATCTCATATCATCTTGCGGGCTATCTAATGCACATGAATTGTGGGACAAATATAAAGAGTACATGGCGGAAGATATTTTGCGAAAGTTACAGCAGACACACGCAAACATG